TCTGATGCCGTGAAAAGCCATAATATATGAATCAAGTTGAAGATGGACGAACGAAGGCGAAGCATTTTAGACAGGGCAGCGCACGCAACAGCGAAAATTGTATGATTCATCTTCAGTTTGTTTTAAGGTTGATGATGTATATCGCGTGTTGCTGATAGAGTCAAGTCTGGATAATCGCCGTTGACCATTACGGGCTTCCGGCCACTATATATCCTAAGCAGTTAATGTTCGTATATATTAACGATGTACGAAGTAATTAGAGGCCACTGTGTATAAAACTAAACTGACACTCCCTGCGAGGGCCTAGACCTATGTTCTGGTGCAAACCTGCAGGCCCTTGCATAGCAGAACTGCAACGATAGACATTTAACGACATAGAGCAGAACTCCGTCACATTTTTTAGACCGTAGGGAGCAGGGTGATTTTCCATCACGATCATAAGTGTTTTTTGTCGCATCGAGCCCTTCTTACCGTAGAGGCTTATTCCTCGAGATCTGCGAATTTAGGCTACCCTTCGCGACAATGTTACCCTATAACGCCGCTATAGCCTACTAAGTAATGACCCTATGACCTTATGACCTTATAACCTATGACCGGATCCGCCTATGCCTCTATACACTTCATCTCGGCACCTCGCAATATCTCGAACTTAGCGGCGATAGATGTACTAGATGTCGAGGGTTTTCTTCATGGAGGGAAGCATGTAACGATCTAATCTAGACCCGCGCGTCTCGGCTTGATCGTTGCCGATCGGTGAAAGAAATCCCGGCATGAATAGGGTAGAAATAACAGACACAAGCCCAAGGTATGTATGTCATGGATCTATTATAGACATTTTCGAAAGCACGGGGCGGCGGCAGTTGCAGCGCGCCCGTTCCCCCGAGACTACTTCCTTAATGTTAGCCCTGATTCTAACCTTAGTCTTTGCCGTGGCCTTGATCTTGGTATGTGGTGCATAAGTACAGCGAAACAGGGAGTAAAGAACAGGTGCCAGTGGCTTAATTGTCGATTTTTATACCCGATAACTACAGAACCGGCCTATGTCGGCGCATCGCGACCCTCACTTCACAATGGTGCCTTGGAGTTTCCTACGTCCAGGAAGTGAACATATAGCCAGAGGATATCGGCGCAATTTAGCCTTCTCATCTAAGGATTGCTATTAGATTATAAATCAAGATCTCGCTTATAGCCTTACGTAGCGTAGCGCCTATGGTCCAGTGTCTTCTATCATGGAACAAGGCTAGTAATGTTACTACTGAGACGAAGGCCTCAAACAATTTTAACCACTGAGTTAATGTCTCGTCGGAGAAACATGCCAACGACGGAAGTAGTGCTCCGAAGCTGGTATTCCCGGCTTTGGCAGTGTTTCGTCGACACGACCTTTAGTGTTTTTGCAAATAAAAGATGGTCAAGCGGAGCAAATAGCGATTAGTGCACGATAATAGAAATAAGAAACGATGTTACCTACTAGGCAAACAATGCTGATAACTGAGTTAATGGCTTATCGTAGAAATATTCTAACAGACGGGGGAACCTAGTGGTCCGCAGTGGTTTTCTACCATAAGCAGTAGACAAATTCCTAAGTCCTGTCACGGGCTGGACCCGATTTAGTGGACCCGGTTTTACCGGGTCCGTTAGGATGAAGGTCCCGGCTTAAGGCATGGCCTCGAGCTTCTGTTCTTTCCCCCTAGCTTTAGATAGACAATATATAGGCACCTACTTATTAAAGAAACTCTAGGCTAGCCTCTTATATATCTAAAGCTTAACTAATGCATTTAGAATATAAGGTAGAATAGCTTAATACTAAGCGACTTTTAATTTATTTAGAACTTAACGTATAAGGCATAAAGGCTCTATATAAGTAAAATTTTTCTTTAATAGCAACGTAATAAGCATAATAGGCTATAATACCGATATAACGCGAGGCGTAGTTAATAAGTATAATCGAAACGATATAAGCATAGATCGAGGAGTTATAGATAGCGATTAATTATCGGGCGCACTAACCTCGTTAGGTATTACCGGAACTTAATCGATTTAGCGGCCGAGCTAAAGATTAGGATATATAGGCGTTGGCTATAAGGGCTAAGCTACGCGTTAGCGGATAAGCTATTAAAGACGAGAACGCGTAGTTCTACTATATCTATAGCTCCCTCGATAGGAATATCTAATATATAGTTCTAGCCTTCGTATAACGTATAGAGAAGTAAGGTTAATAGAGTCTAACGCTTTTACTCGACTATCTTAAACGGATTTTCGACGATCTTAATAAGTCTAAAAAGGTAGGATAGCGGCTTAGAGAGATAACGTAAGGAGCTCGACTACTCCTAGATTACCTACTAAGGTTTAAGGGAACGCTTTTTAAGGCTAGGGCCGACTTATAGCTAGACGACGCAAAGATTATAACGCTAGTAGGGGGTCTTAATAAGGAGTTAAAACAACGATTGACCGCTTAGCTTAATCTCCTAATAACCTATAATAAGTTTATTCGGGTTCTTCTTGCCCTCGGCGACTAGGATAGTATTAGGTTTTACTACTAAGGAAATTTAGCGAGACGCATAGGGCATGTCTACGAGTACTCGTCTAACTCCGGTTCGGACGGGGAAGGTTGCTAAAGGGGGGGTAATGTCACGGGCTAGACCCGATTTAGTGGACCCGGTTTTACCGGGTCCGTTAGGATAAAGGTCCCGGCTCGAGGCATGGCCTCGAGCTTCTATACTTTCCCCCTAGCTTTAGATAGACAATACACAGGCACCTGCTTGTTGAAGAAACTCCGGGCCAGCCTCTTATAAGTCCGGAACATTCCTTTTAAGGAATATTTGTCTGAGCACTATGCTCATCTTCCGTAGATTGTGTAAGATTCACCAGTGTATCTATTCGTTCATTCCAGTGTCAGTTGCTGCCATTTATAGTTATGATCTTCGTTTTATTACACGGTTTAATGTATGCGCTCATCGCTATCCTAGCCATATTAGCTTGATGCCCCACTGGCTCACCCTTCCATACGATCAGGTGGGTCTATTTTTCCCTTTCTTCTTGGTCCTTCGGACTACTTCTATAACATTCCTTTCCCTGCCATCACCCGATACCTCCTTCATGCTCTACACACCTACCCAAGCTTTCTTCTTTTCCCAATACTTTACCACAATATCCAACCTACCCAGACTACGAGCCAAAGTCGTTTATTCTTGTCACAATGTCATCCGCAATTGTTAGTGCCGATATCATTATCATCGGAGCAGGCTTCTCGGGTTGCTGCGCCCTCAACGCCGTTCGATCTCAAGGTTACTCGGCCAAGATTCTTGAAGCGGGTGACGACTTCGGAGGTGTTTGGCACTACAACAAGTATCCCGGTGCTCGAGTTGATTCTGAAGCTCCATTTTATCAATTCCATTTGCCGGAAGTCTGGAAGGACTTTGATTTTAGTGAGCGATACCCTGATTCTAACGAACTCCGGAGATACTTTGCACATCTCGATAAGAAATTAGATCTTCGAAGAGATGTAATATTTGGCACCAAAGTTATAGAGGCTGGATATATCGCCTCAAAAAACCTATGGTCCTTTCAAGCAGTAAATGGTTTAACCGCAACAGCACGATATGCTATATTTGCTACTGGATCAACAATTAAACCTTTTATTCCTGAATTTCCTGGGCTTGAAAGCTTCGAAGGCCCTATCATTTGTCCATCTGCCTGGCAAGATTCCCTTCAGATCGACGGTAAAAGAATCGGCATTGTCGGCCAAGGGTCATCAGGGATACAACTAGTACAGGAGCTAGCTAAGCGGGACTGTCAGCTCACTGTCTTCCTTCGGAATCCACCTATGGCTATGCCTATGCGGAATAGAGCATTCTCGTGTGAAGAGTCAGCGCAAATGAAGATTTTATACGACGCTTTGTTTACGTGGTCACGTTATAGCAGCTTAACGGCAACTCCCTATAGCATGTGCAGCAAGTCCTTTCACGACGTTAATGAATCACAACGACAGCAGCTTTACGAACAACTCTGGTCACTTGGTGGTGCCTCCATTCTGTTCAGCAATTTTCCGGACCTTCTCCAGGATAAAGTAGCCAATGCCGACTTCTATAACTTTTTCGCCAAAAAAATCCGTCCCCGGATCACAGATCCAGTCAAGCGTGACATTATCGCCCCTCTCAGGCAGCGACAGTGGGTGTTCTCAAGAAGGCCGATCTTGGAGAACGACTATTACGAAATGATTGATCAGCCTAATGTCGAACTCGTGGATCTTGCCATCACGCCTATTCAAAGATTTTTCAGACAAGGTGTCGAATTTGGTAACAGAGAAAAACAGCTCGATGTCTTGATTCTAGCCACTGGGTACGATTCGTTCACTGGAAATTTATATAGCATGAACATTCGAGATAGGAACGGTATCCCTCTAGCCGAAAAGTGGCAAAGGGGCATTACAACATATCTCGGAATGATGGTTCCCGACCTTCCCAATGCTTTCCTACTTTATGGGCCACAATCGCCATCGTCTTTCGCTTATGCCCCACCATTTATACAGATGCAGGTTGAGTGGGTCAGTAAAATCCTACAAAAGGCAAAAGATGATAGGATTGAGGTTTTGGAGATACGCAAGAGCGCAGCTAAAAAGTGGAGATCATTGACGCTACAAGTAGCCGAGTCATTGCTGATGCGAGAAACATATTCTTGGTGGAATGGAGGCAATATTCCAGGCAAGGTTCGAGAGCCCTTGATCTGGTTTGGGGGGTTAAGCCTATGGTGGGAAAAATGCAAAGAGGCCCTAGCAGATTGGTCAGATCTCGTAGTTGGATAAAATAGCGCTAAAGGGATTTATGCAATAGAACGTAACCAATTCCTTCACGGTGTGGCGCTTACACCGTCACCAGTGCACTGAGTGCAGGATACAGCAAGGTAATCGTTGAAGCATAGCAAACCTATTTCAATAAATCGCGCCCTCCCTTCTGTCCAGTTGTGTCTTAGCGCTATACATTGGCATGTTGCCTAACTCAAATATGTACTTTGATTCCGTCTGAATTATCTATAAAGAGAGAAGGTGTTCCCCCAGTAGCTAGTCCAAGCAAGCACTTTGACATTCAATCTAACAAGGATTAAAACATCTAAAAATTCTTCCAAACCCTTTTCTTATATTGTACTCAGTATAGTACATGCTTGATATTTCTCTACAATATTCTCATACGCTATAACCTGCTTGATCTATTCACCCGAACAGGGGACTACATGCTATCGCGTACTTCGGTATACTATCATCCCGCGGTTGGAGAATATTCGAAGATGGCTAGTATCGCAGAGTCGGCGTCTAGAAACCTAAATGAAGCTGGCTTAGATCATGTCCTCGTCACACCGAGCCAGGAATCGTATGACTGCCGAAATGAGTCCTACTTTTCCCGGACGGCCCAATTGGCGCCATGGGCCATTGTCCAGCCACGAAATACAGATGAGGTTTCCCGGTCACTAAAAGCCCTGGTGAGAACGCCGGGCTGTAAGTTTGCCGTGCGTAGGTCAGTGGATACATTTCATTGATGGCACACTCACCATCCATAAAATCTACCTAAATAATGAGTTCAGGTTTAGCCCTTAAAGTTTACTGACTTCTAGTCGCGCTGACTCGTGATCGTGTCATAGTGGCGGCCACATGCAATGGGCTGGCGCCAACAATATCCGGGACGGCATAACAATCGACCTCGGGCGTATGTCAAAGACTACCTATAACCCTGAAACACAAGTCGCATCACTGCTTCCTGGAGGTACATGGGCGGACGCGTATAAGGAGCTAGAGAAACGTACGCGATAGACAAGTCCCATCAAGGTCGAACTATACTAATCGAAGACTGATCCTAGATGGAAGGATGGTCGCTGGTGGCCGTGATGGTGCGGTTGGCATTGGCGGGTTGCTGACTGGTGGCGGCAAAACATTTTACACTTGCCGCACTGGCTTCGCTTGCGGTAAGTTCCGAATGAAGACTTCTTGTCCCTTCCCGTTGCCCTTTTAAGGTTATTCAATAATTAGTAGCGTTACACTGTTGAAATATAACACTTCAAGATCACTACCACGGGACCCCGAGCCCGCATAAGCTGGATACTGGAAATTAACACTATCATTAGACCAGGTTGTCAACTACGAAGTCGTGTTAGCGAATGGCACTGTCATTGAGGCCAATGACCAAAAGAACTCAGATATCTTCCGTGTTCTAAAGGGCGGAGGGAACAATTTCGGCATTGTCACACGCTTTGATATAGCGACGTTTCCATCAAAAGACATCTGGGACGGCAACATTATCTACGATAAGGAGATAACGCCGCAGCTAGCTGAGGTGCTTTTGGATTTTATCCAAAATCTCGCTAAAAACCCAGACAGCCACGTTGCTGCGGCATGGACGTACCTACCGAAGACTGAAAATCATTTTATCAATATGTTCTTAACGAACCTAGATGGTGACAAGGAGTCGCGGTCTTTGAGCAAGTTCTTAGCAATTCCTGGAAAAAGAGAAATGAAAATGAGCACAGTAGCGACCAAAGTGGCGTCGTCGGCCTTGGGTGCAGGCCTGCCTACAGGCAAAGAGTAAGTCGAGGTCTCGCCCCATTTTGTTCTTAACTTTCGCACCTCTTCTGCTTAGACTACAGCTCATCCTGCCGACGTGACAGAAATACATGGTTCTCCTTGACCTTTAAAGCCGATTCGCGAATTGTCCTCAGGGCTGCAGAGGTCTTCGAGGCCACAGTCGGAAATTTAAAAGCGCAGGTTCCGGACTACGATTTCGTCTTAATGATGCTCCTACAACCACTCCCTATGTTATTCGGACAGCACTCAGCGGCGCGTGGCGGCAACATGCTCGGGTTAGAGCACATTAACAGCGATTGCCTCTTGCTGTTGTTTGTACTCCAAGTGGAGACCTCAGAACTCCGCACGACAATTGGGTTGCCGGCCCTTAAAGGGGCTATAGACGAAATCGAAGCCTTTGCCGAGTCAATGGGTGGCAATGTGCGGTTTAGGTACTTAAACTATTGCGACGGCTCGCAGGACCCCTTATATAGCTATGGTGAGAAGAATGTGGAGATGATGCGTATAGCTGCCGCGAAATACGACCCTTCTAGGGTGTTTCAGACTCAGGTGCCTGGTGGCTTTAAGATCTCTAAGGTGAAATAGGAGGATCTGACAAGAGGTTTAAGACTATAGCACGGACTTTTAGGCTTATAAAATAAGATAGAGTATTTGTTGGTAGGCCAGCAATTGCTTGGGTTGGGGTTAACCGGTGGTGTTGTATTCGTCTTATCTTCTAGCTAGGGAGGCGAGGCCATCGTTGTAAGGCGCACACACATAACTAAAAAGAGAGTGAAGAACGGGGGTCAATCCAGTGTAGCTAACAATCAAGCTTAAACTTGACAAGCTTCAATCGAGTTCGGCTTCTCGTCAAGTCAAGTTGTCGAGTCAATTTTGAAGTCGTCTGTCACGCGCTAGGAGAAGCATACCTCCGAGATGTTTCGGAGTAAGCCGTTAGCAAACGGAGGCTGCTTACACATAAGAAGGGTGCCTATTCTCGGGATTTTATGGGATCTTTAGAGATCAATGAATTGAATGATTAACCCCCGTTCTTCACTCCCTGTTTAGTTGTGTGTGCGCCTTACATCGCTGTTCAATCAATCAAGTTGAAGGCGTGTTAAGTTGTCAAGTACTTGACCTTTGTTATTAGCTAATTATTTACGAAGACTTATCTCTATCGGCTGCCTGCCAAACCACGCAAAAGTCTAGGGTAAGTTAGCAAGTGCCCGGGTAAGGCGCGTGGGATAAATCGATATAACCCACCATAAGGGCGTATCCAAAGCTATTACCAATCAGATCCCCTATATGCCCCCGTAAGCCCCTATAACTTAGGAAAACTTTCGAAATGTTCCTCTGTACCTAAAGCAAGGACCCATTAAATACCTATAACAATGTGTTAGATCAACGCATTATTATGTCTCTACACGCTTTCTAGAGCCCAAACCGGCTATTAAGCGCTCGAGGCTTATCTATCACTTCTTCTATAAGGCAGTCTATCAATCTAAACGAGCCGGTATTATCGACCGAGCAAAAATGCGATTTAGAGCAAGCACTCTAGCATTAATCTATATATCCTCCGCACTCTCTCTTATTCCTAATTAACTAGGGCATACTTTAGCGGTATAATAGTACTATTCTTAAGGGTATATAGTACTATATATAGGATAAAAGGACTATAGGCGGATATATAAAGGTCTTATAGATCTATTTATATAGAGTTAAGCTTTAGTATAGTAATAATAAGTACTTCCTCTATACTAATTATTATATTAAAAAGTAGTATTTTAGCTAGCTATTTATAATAGAATTAATAATAGCGGTAATCTAATATCTTATAGAGTTTTATAAGGTTAAGAAGCTTTTAGTTTTAGCTAATAAGGATAATAGTATTAAACCTAATAGAATTATAAAAGCTTTTAGCTTATTATATTATTTAATAAGGATAAATATAAATAGAAGCTTATTAACTAGGTTATTAAGCTATATTTTAGCTACTTAGAGGTTATAGATAAAGTAACTATTAACTTACTTATATATAGTAAGTATAGGAATTATACTAATCTATTATATCTATTAAGGATTAAAGAATAAATGCACGTAATTACTTAATTACGTATATAGCTAAAGCCCTTAAAGGCTATATAGCCTTTATAGCCTCTACCTCTATAGATAGCTAGATAAGACGAATATAATAATACCGGTTAACCCTATCTTTATATATAAAGGAAGCCTACTAATACTAATTAGTAACTTAGCTTAACTAGTTATAGACAGCTAGGTTAAAAGAGACGAATCGCGACCCTTAGACTAACCTACCCGCCTATCTTATAGTTAGGAAGACGGGTATTCGTGCTAATTAGCTATCTCGGACCTACTTAATATATAAGAGAACCTCCTAAGCTATTAATCTACTACCTAATACTTATTAATAGTATAATTATATCGCTTAGTAATTTCTATAGATTAGCTACTTATTATTAACTAATAGCTTTTACTAGTATCCTTTTAATAACTTTATATATAATAGACTAATATAACCCTTTATTATCTTATTTATTTAATTATAATAAACTTAATAAGTATAACTATAGATAAGAGTACTTAACTTAAATAATTAGCGGATTAAATATAAGGACTTACTATCTATAAGACTATATATAACTAAGTTAATATCGCCTAATAGAGTAAAGATATTATACCTAATAAGGAAGATAAAACTACCGCTATAATATATATAGCTTGCTTTATAGTAAACGCTTAGTCTAGATAGTTCTAAGGAGATAATATTCTTAGATACTTCTAATAGCACTTCGAAGACTAAACTATAGATATATAGAGCTATATATATAGATACTATAAGAGAGCTATTAGAATGCTTCTAAGGAGATAAAGCGTCTATATAAGAAGGAGGAATAGCCCTTTTATCCCTTAATTTATTAAACTATAAACTCTTAAGGACCTTTACCTTTAGCTTAAGAAAGATTTAAGGAAAACGGTATTTAATATAGGTATATATACCTATAGGGACTAGCTAGTATTAGTAGGATTAAATGCTCCTACTACCTCTTATTTACGCTAGACCCTACCCCTACCTATACTATCCCCTTAACTAGTTATTATAGTAGTACTAATATTAAGTTTACTAGCTACTTTAATACCTTCTCCTTAAGGTACCTTAAACGTACTAACTTAGACCTCTTTAATAGCCTATCTAATAATATACCGTTTCTAATATTATAATATTATCTAACTTATCGAAAAGCCCTTTCCCTTATCCGCCCTTATATACTTTAAGGTATTATAACCTTACGCGCTAGCGTAGAGATACTAGCGTAGAACCTTACTAGTATTACGTGCCTAAGTAGTATTATATGCCTACGTACGACCTCGCGCTTACCTAAGCGCTGCTAAGGTAACCTTATATATATATATATAAGGGCTAGCTCGGTCGTATAGTCTAGTCTTTCTTTCTTACTCCTTAGCTTTAAGTCTTCGTTTATAGTACTAATATATCTTTATAGCTATTAAGGCTTATATATACCTAGCTATAATACTATATAGCCTTTATAGCCTCTACCTCCTTAAATAGCTAGATAAGATAAATATAATAATACTAGTTAACCCTATCTTTATATATAAAGGAAGCCTACTAATAGTAAGCTTTTACTTATATACTTATTATTAATATATTACTTAACGCTCTCTTAATAAGTTAAGGATTTATTAGTAATATACTTACTATTTATTATTAAACTAGTATAGTCTATATTTAGTAATCTCTACTACGCTACTTCTGCTTCTAGAAATAGCCCCTCCCCGATTAGGTATTACGCCGCCGCCGCCTAAACCCCGCCCCTACCTTATAATCCTAGTTATAACGCTCGATATAGTAGGAATATAAATATCTTAATACCTACCCTCGCTCGTCGATATATACTCTTAACTTCTCTCTCCTTCTATAATATACTCGGCCCTTACTTACTACCGTACCCTATCCTCCGCCTTCGCCCGCCTTCCTTATATACGCTGTCTTTATCTCGCCTATACCGCTAGTCTACCGCCGACCTCTATATAGACCTCTTCGCTTCGCCCTCTACTACTAGATACGTCTATGCCCCTTTCTTTTAAAAATGCCGCCGCCGCTACTACTACTACTAAGTATATATATCTTTATCGTTACGTAATACGCTTTCTTTAACTTAAATAAAGCTATTATATCTAGGTATTATTATCCGTCTAGCTATAAGTTCTATCCTTAACCTAACCTCGGACTATCTTATCTCTTACTATTATAGCTACCCCTCCGGACGCTAGCCCCTATTTAATAGGTAAAGGAAGCCTATAAGCCCCTTAGTTAGTTATAAAAATACGCGGTTACTAATAGCGCTAACGTATAATATAAGGGGTAGGTCTATTAACTAACACGGCTAGACCGGCGCTATCCCTAATAAGCTAAATTACCCTTTCGCGCTATAGACTAGTATAATATAAGGAGGAAAGGCTAGCGTATAGTCTATTAATATAAGGGATACGGCCTAGCGTTCCCTCGGCTAGACTCTTTCCGATATACTATCTAAGGTATAACTAAGCCCCTTTTTATTAATTTTAGCCGTTAATAAAGGGTCCCGTAGAGGCGACGCTATATATATTACTACGCTAAACGTAAGCTAAGAAAAGGCGCTCTAAGGACGCCTATACTTAGGTGCCGAGCCTCCTCCTTTAATCTAGGCTATAGAATATAATAATAGGATAGGAGTATTAATACTAATTAAGGACTAACGTATAGAGCCTAAGGCTAACTTAGAGCTACTAAGTATAACGTGCTGCTAATAGCGTAAGCTAGTCTATAGTAGGGTTACGAGGAGGATTCTACTATATCCTTTTAGCCGCGTTTAGTATAGTCCGATAGCTATATAATTAATAAAGAGTAAACGGGAGAAAAAAGAGGCTAGCTTACGCGGGTCTAGCCCTATATATTATTTCGGATAAACGGCTAGACGGAATAATATAAAAGCCTAAGAGCACTTAGAGCCTAAGGAGTATATCTAAGCTAAGGTAAGGGGAGCGTTAGCTAGAGTAGTAAGCGCGGCTCGCTTATATATTTTAGGTATCTAGTACTCGTGCTCTTAATAATACTTCTTAGTAAGGTTCTCTAACTATTTATAAGTAAATAGCGTTACTTACTCTTATAAAAGATTCGCTTACCCTACTAATAACTTTTACTATTACCCTCGATAGCTAAGCCTTTTAGGTTCCTCCCTTAGGGAGCGGTAGGTAAATAAAGTAGCTATAGCTAAGGCTACTATAGCTATTAACGTAGTAGTAGTATTTATTTACTTTTATAACCTCGCAATAAACTTTATCTTATAAGGTAGAGGTAGGCTTAAACTATATACCCGCTATCTATAAGAGACCCTTAAATAGGCCGATAACAATTCTATTTAATATAGAATCTAAGGCTAATGATATAGATAACTAAGTTAAGGGTAAGGGCGATAGTTATAATAGTTAAGATATAGATAACTCGCGATCTCTTAATATACTTCCGTTAGCTAATATAGTTATTATATTTATAGCTAAAGTATAAACTAGTAGTACTAATAGTA